GTTTGACCTGACGACACGAAGCAATTGATTCAGAATGACAAGACCTTAAATTTCAACTGCTTTGCGTTTAAAGAAAAAACTTGTTAAGCATAATCTAACTACTATGGCATTTTAACTCTCGATAAATGTACATATATTGATCTTTTTACTTTCTCTTAAGTTAATATTTGTGTAAAGCTGATTTCAGTTGTTTGTTGATCACGAACAAGTAAAAGTGAATCTATCTGTTTTGACGGTAGAGGACGACGATTTAATTAATTAAGGTAATCCCCAATTATTTTATCAGAGATCGCGTCCTTAGTGTATAGGGCTTTATAATAGATAATACCTCCATTTCACCAAGGACCACCAAGGATTATTCTGGTCCCTAAAGTACCCGATTATTTGGTCGGTCATATCATATTATATTTCTCATGTTTATTTTTTATTTTCTGTTTATTTATTTTTTTCTTTAGTACTGTAATTAATATATTAATATATATTATTAACCACAAGAGACGAATTATTTTTAAGATCATTTCCAATGATTTACCAAATAAAATGGTGGAATTACAAAATATTAATATATTTAGCCGACATAATAAATTTTAATGACGGGTGTAAAACCGTCCGCACTGGCTATAATAGCAGTTTTCTTAGTATTTGACATGTTATTTATTATGATGGTGTGGAAAACGATGTCAAAAAACAGACAAATTTAGCAAAGAAAAGTAAAATTAGTTTTTATAGAAGACAAGGATGTACAGGCCTATGATAATTATAATATTTCTATGTAAAAAGTACTAATTGCGAGAATACGGGGACACTTTTTCCGTATACAATCCCCGGTACGGTAGTCTGATTGTCTATAAGTTTACAAATATATTTGAGCATTTGATGACAGCCAGAAAAAGATTTTCTACAGCCAAACTACAAGTAATAATACAGGTTGCATATGTAGTATATAATGTTAAATAATTCGATTTGTTAAACAATAAAATATACTAGATCCACAGGCTTCGCGTGGTTCTGAAGCAGTGCGTAACAGTTTTGATTTCACGCTTAAAACTGTGCCGCAAAGTATCGTAACAGTAACATAATTTCCTATCATAATTAACTGGATATAGATCGCCCAAACGCAAAGCATATTCGACAGATCGCTTCAACTCACATTGCATTCAACAACAGTTGAAGGGAGCAAACTACCTTTATCGTTTAAACCACAAAAAACTTACAAGCGGAAAACCGACTTTTTTAAGAAAAAATTCATCAATTTCAAATGGCGATAAAATCGGAAGTAAACACCGTGCAATAAACGTTAATATACCATTGGAAAGATCTCGTCGAGAGCTATCAAAATTGTTCTGGTCACATGATCACCAAAGGTCAAGGTCACGATATACGACCCTTTAAAGTATTCATATTTTTCAACCGGAAATAAATAAAGAGCAAAATCAAAATTCAAAAATCGATTCTCAAATATTATTTAGAAATCGATATTAGATACCTTAGATATCAAATTTACACAAATTGGATTACACCCTGAGGCCCCATTTCGATTTATTGAAAATTACGCAGTTACTATAGAAGAAAGTACAAAATTTTCAAATATTAAAAAGCGCAATTTTGATTGAAATATCTAGTGTTATATATCTTACAAAGGGCAGATGAACAATAGAAAGATTCAATAAGAATTTTTGGTGTATGTAAATTAGGTCACGTGTCAGAGCTCTTTGAAGATAAAAATCGTAATTTTCAAGTAAACATTGCACAGCACAAATGAGTATATCACTGGATAGATATCATCAAGAGCAACAAATTTTGTTCAGGCCACAAGGTAACCAAAGGTCAAGGTCACGAAATAGGAGCCTTTGAAATTTTGGACATTACCGAAAAATTTTAACCGGAAATAAAAGAAAAGCAAAATCGAAATTCAAAAATCGGCTTCCAAATTTCTTTTCGCAATCGATTGTGATATCCAGATATACCAAAATTGACACATCAATATGGCGGCTACTCTGTTACACCCGGGTCGGATTTTTTGATTTGAGGTTTTTTGTATGGCTATTTGTAACATATTGCAAAAAGAATTTTTGAAATATCTTCAAAATTCCGGAAGTTGAATTTTATATTTTAGAAGCGAATAGCGTCAAAACCGGAAGTGATATCAAAATTTTGAAAATTTGTTTATGTTCGCAATGAAAGTGTCTATTACTCTGTAAGTTTTCAGATTGATCGAAATAGAATTGCAGAAGTTAGAAAAAAGGTTAAAAAACTCAAAAATTGGAACTCAAAAAGTCAGCGAAGTCAAAATTGTCGATTTTTTCAATTGCTATCTTGTAGTCATTAGCGCGAAGTAATAAACAGTACAGTTTGAGCAAATTCAGACGAGTATTATATTACATTTCAATTTGAAGAGATTGGTATTGCTAAATTATTTTATTTTTAATGTTGTCTTTTCGATATGATAAAAGAATACCTTCATATTTGATAAAACTCGTATATTATTATAGCTAAATAAGTTTTTTTATTTTATATGTTGACGGATATGTTATATGTTATTTAGGAATGTATTTAATTCTGAAAAAATAATATTGACGGATGTTGACATAAAAAAAGGTTGTAGTGTTCATCGCTTATTTCATTATAACATAGTGGGCATATTCTGTCATATCTCGGGATATTCTTCGGTGATAAAGTTTTGTTTTATCAGAGAAGACATTTCTCCTCCAGAAGATAAACTAATATCGTTGTTCCATTTTTGAATAATTTGATCCTGAGTTTTGTGTTTGATAGAATATTTAAGAAATTTTGTATTCAGAGATGATATCGATTGGTTAGATTATCCGTTTTGATCAAGTATTTGTTTTATGAATTCTATATATCTGAATTGTTTTCGACCTGATAATGTAACTGTAATATCAGGCTATATATTTTTTGGGATAATGTCTCTTTTGGAGAGACTTGCCGAGTTTGGATAGGCAAGCACGGGCGGCCAAAATAGAATCATACGTTGTTGGATAGTTAAAAGAATAGGAAATCTGCCTGTTTCTCCATAGATCACATAATTTGGCGTTGTGTTTCTATTTATAATCTGTTTACAGTATTGTGTGTGAATTTTTTTCTATTTCTGAGTAATTCTCATCCATATGAGTATTATAGTGAACTTACACATAATTGAACAATAAAACTAAATTGTGTCAGATTCTACAACACAATAAGTTAAAATAGAACTCTGGTATATTTTTCACTTTACCTCTCGAAAAAATTACAATCTTAGATTTGTCTAGATTAACCGTCAGTTTCTAATTTGAACATTTCTAGTGATTTCTTCAGATTAAGCCAAAATTAGAGTGTCGTCAGCGTAAAGTAACAAAAATAATTTTATATAAATTCTATAATTATCACGTGATTAAATACCAATGCCTTCCAGACATTTCATATCGTTTTCATCAAAAAATAGATTGCAAAACGAAATGGAGAAAAATATTCATTAAATATTTTGCCGTTAATGTTACTTGACGAAATTCTCAGTGATATACCTTTACAAAGAAAATCGCGAGGAAATAATTTGCTTACTTCAATTATGCTGGCTGATAATCTCTTTATGGTTGAAACAGATAGTTTGAAACAATCGAGTGGACCTTTGACCCAAAATGTAAGCAAACCAAATGCCTAAAATCTAATTTGACTTACCATTCCAATAATAAGTGCTCAATTTCGGCCATTTCATCAAACTGTGCATCGGTTCCTAAGTAGAATCTGATCATGTTATTTTATTCAGATACTTACCTTTTTGGACACACTTGTCACATCCAAAATAACAACTGTGGTCTTTTACTTGTTTGACATAAGCTCGAGCAGGAGTGTCACAGATAACACAAGATATACCTACCTTAAATTTACTTTCCAATTCTGGAACAGACAATGTATCATTTTCAAGCCTTTTCATGTCATTATTACAGGGGCAATTTATATTACTCGGCTTACTATCACCAACATATATCCCGATCACAAAATGCTCTGCAGTGTATCATCATAACGGTGATAATGGCCATCACAAATACCACTTACCTCAACGTTTTTTTTTTTGGCGTGTTTAATAAAGTTCTAGGATCTTTAGGAAATCAGGGATGGAATGGCTTTTACAGTGATACTAAGCTTTTTGGACCAATTAGTTTTTCCACATATCGAATTGTCACGTGCTAGATCTTGCCAAATAAACGCAAATAAACGTAAAACAGCTCGGAAGCTGACAGATCTGTGTCGAACAGGTCTAGTTTATTTTATATTTCTTTTGTAGTATAACATTGAAGGAAAAGTTGTTAAAATTTGTGACATAATGAAGGAATACCAAGATATCATAATCCACGATGGTTTGAATTATATTGATGTTATAATGTATAAACAGTTAATAGGCAAGGTCGACCTAAATAAAAGTTTCCCATTTTCCAATGTAAAAGTTCGAGTATACAATATGATTAAACTAACTACAACAAAAGAAATAATTGAACTTATTGACAAAATTTCTATTGTTCCAACAACTTTTGTTTTATCTGAATTGAAATCAATTTCAAACAAAAAAAGGCATATGGATTTATCGTGTCTTTTTCAATTTCCAACTGAAAGGAAAGTATTAGCATTTAATATGTTCTTTTGTTTGTTCATTAACAATAACAACCTTATTGATATTGACCCGATCAGACCAACATTCCTACGATTTTTCAGTAACAATAACAAACCATTCAATGCAGCGCAAGTAAATGTATTTTGCTCACTGTAAATGTCAATCACAAAATGTAGGCAACTCTTTTAGAGCAAATTACATAGGTGGTGTTGCTGTACTGATTAAGAATTCCTTGTTTCCATACACTGCATTAATTGATATAGATAATGAAAATATTCTTGGTATTGAAATACGACTGCCCTCTAGGCGTCCTCTATTCATATTTTCGGTGTATGTATCGCCTGAATCAAAAGGTCTTGCTGCATTTGACCATACACTCACTGCTCTTGATGAAATGTTTACTACTTATTGCAATATTAGTTCAGTTATTATCTTAGGAGACTTTAATTGTGCACTTAATGTAAATAGACTAACTAACATCAATTCAAGAGCCACAAAATTTTCCCAATTCGTAGAAAAACTTAATGTAGTATCTTTTTGTCACCATGAAAATCGTATTGGCCCAAATTGGACATTCAAGTCCTCTTCAAATGGTCCGGAATCTCTTGTAGACCATATTTTTGTACCATATGATATAGTTGATTCTGTTGTTGATGTGAAAATACTAACCCATAATGATTATAACCTTTCAGATCATCTTCCTGTACTGGCATCTTTTAATTTTGACTTTCACATAGTACGGTCACTTCAGGCAAATCCAGGCAAACATGCCGTCTCATGGTCTAAGGCTATGGAAGGAAACCAAATATACGACTACACATATAAACTTTCCAATTCTTTGTGGGCTTTAGATTCCGGCAACATTAAAACTGCTGATGAAGTCGACATTTGTTTGGATGCCATAACCACTGCAATCGAAGAGGCTTCCAAGGAATTTTTACCACGAAAATCTTTTATAAAGCACCTAAAGCCTTATTGGTCGGTTGCAGTCAAATACCTTCATCACAATATGAGAGCAACAAGAAGATCATGGATAACCAATGGTAAGCAAAACAATCGATCAAATCAATACTTCTGCCAATACAAATCGGCAAAAACTGCATTTAGGAGAGAGCTACGTTATCGGATTCCACTAGATTGACACTTCCCTAGAGGTAGACAACAAATTGTTCTGGTCCTTGATTAAGAGCTCAAAACGAGGAGGCCAAGGAGACGGTGGTACTTGTTTAGAGGTAAATGGTGAACTGTTAAATGATCCACAGTCTGTATTAACTGGATGGGCGTCACATTTTCAATCTGTTTTCTCTAATGATGATGATCCTTCGTTTGACAGAGGATTTTACACAGAGGTCTCTAATACGGTGAACTGTATACGAGAGGAACTTGGAAGGTCCAACCCCTCTGACAAGCTCCTAACCTCTACACACGAAGTCTGCAGCAACCTCAAGAACAACAAGTGTGGTGACATTGATGGAATCAATTATGAACATCTGAAATATGGAGGTAAAACCTTATACAGGCAGTTTATTTAATGCAGTTTTCTATTCAGGTGTTGTTCCTAAGACCTGGAAACACAGCTTTATCATACCTATCTCTAAAGGTGGTACCAAGAGCAGAAAGGATCCAAAATTCTTATAGAGGCATATCTATTACTCCCACTATTGGCAAGGTATTTGAAAAATTGATTGAAAAGAGGCTAGAAAAACTTACCAGAAATAATGACTTCCCGAATCCTCTACAAGTAGCCTACCAAAAGGGGCTGTCCTCAATCCATTCATCCTTTATTGTACAGGAGACAATAAACCACTATAAGGAACGATCAAGTGCATTGAACATTGCCTTTTTAGACAGTTCCAAGGCTTTTGATTCGGTTTGGCATAATGGACAAATGACCAGCAGTGTAAGATTAGCAGGTCAATTTTCTGAGAGCTTTATTCTAAAAAGAGGCATTCGTCAAGGGGGCGTTTTGTCAGCTAAATTATATATTCTTTTCATCGATCAGCTACTACAAGAACTCTGTGCGTCTGTAGATGGAGCCGCTGTACTTGACATCAAATGTGTATGTCCTACTAAAGCAGATGATGTTGCGGTTAGTCCAACAAAAACTGGGCTATAGAGACTGATAGAAATCTGTCAAAAGTACAGTACCAGATTGAGATTTAAGTTTTAAACTTCGAAGAGTGTAATCTTACATTTTAGCAACTATAAAAGAAGGAAGCCTCCTGATCCTGAAATTATGTTGTTTGGGTCACCCTTACCGGTAGAAAGTTCTATTAAAACACGTTGGAATATTACTTAATACAAAATTCGACTTAAGAGAACGAACATCAGCAGCTTGCAAAGCAATACGCTCCAACTCGTATTTACTAACTCATGCCCAAGAGTTAAATCCACTGACTCTAACCACAATACTTTACAGATGTGTCCTTCCAAAGGTTCTATATGGCTGCCAATTATGGTTTGACCTTCCTGCTGCAGAACTACTTTCATTAGAACGAGCACAAAGGTTCATTTGCAAGAGAGTTCTGGGGTTACATTACAGAACCCGCACTATGATATGTTTAGGTTTGATTGGCTGGTTTTCCATTGAGACATTTGTCGACACCCAAAAATTGTTATTCACTTCATATTGTATTCATTATTGTAGTTACTTGCAACAAGTATTGATCCCCTTTCAATAGTTCAATACTTGTTGCAAGTAACTACAATAATGATATGAAGTGTATATCTCCTTTTTATAATGAACTTTTTAGAAACTGGCATAGCATTTATACAAAACATATTGAAAAGACTACTATTTTTGAAAATCAAATAATCTGGTATAATTCTTTGATAAACTTGAATATTTCTATTTCAAAAAACTTAATTAATCTAGGGTTTGTGTATATTTCTGATTTTCTTAATTTAGGCTACGATGATTATAATAGATATACAAGTAACATTAGATTCCTAATTGATACGGTAAAAAATAAACTTAGGTCACATAATCCCAATACTGAAAATATCTTACAAAAAATTTTAGATTATATAAATAGAATACTAAGAAATATATACCAAAAATCTCTGACAAACATTACAGCGAAAGATGTATACAACTTCAATGTAAAACAAAAGTATAAATATCCATATGGTATAATTAAATGGCAGACGCTTTTAAATGAAACATTCACAGACGATTTTATAACAGGTATATTTAAAAATATAAGAATTGTGTGTAAAAACTCTCAACTTCAAAATTTTCACTATAAATATTGTCATAATATTATATTTCTGAATCAAAAATTATGCAAGCTAAAATTAAGCAATACAAGTTTATGCACCTTTTGTAATTCAACAATCGAGACAATAGATCACCTTTTTATCCTTTGCTCTCATGCCAATATAATTTGGGGATTTTTACAAAAAGTCTTTTGTTAATGTTAATCTGACAATGAATATGTTAAATATGCATTTTGGATTCACTGATCAATCTCTTTTCAAAAATTTCTATGAATGGTTGTTTGTAAATAATTGTATCTATATTGCAAAATATTATTTGTACAAATGTAAATTAGAAATATCGTTACCTACTGTACATAAGTTTCAAAGCTACTTACAGAATATAGCATTTATTGAGGTAAAAGCTTATGAAACAGATGATACTATCATGAAAAAATGGAATTATAATATCAATTACTAGAGGACTCTTTCACTTTATGTATAGTGTATGATCCTAACCTAGAGTTATCTCCCTTTTCAAAATCTGTAATAAACCATGTTTTCAGTTTGAATGTGTGAGTGAATGTATATTGTTATTCCTAGGTCAACTTATCCATCTGAATCCCGTGTGTGCGCCATATAAAGTATTCATCACGCGACTGTTGGAATATCGCCACGGAACGAGTTCTACAACTACTGGATTCGTTCCAGATGTCGTCAGAATACTTGAAAAATACAGACTTAAAAACCATCTACTGACATACTTCAAGAATTATATATTTCCCTCAAAATCTGTATGGAAGAAAATAGTGCGGCATCAAATAAAAGTCATTGAAACAGAACGTCGTATCCAGAGTCTCAACGATGACCCGGAATTGGAAATGTTCAACCAGATTCAACCAGATGTGACACCTCATTCAGTCTTTCAAATTTGGCGCTCAAAGCCTACTCTTAGATGGAAATGCCAACTTTTTGTTAAATCTTGCTCCCTAGTTAAACCATCTGCCAAGAGAACCGTACTATGTGAAAAGTGTGGTCAGTTTTTTACATGTATTATTAGTCATGGTCTCCTTGTGTGCCCTCTTTTTCATGACCCAAGAATTGAGTTCTGGGAATCTGTTACTTCATTTTAAGGTAAAGCCCAGTCTAAATTTTTTAGAAATGCAAGCCATCTTGAACAATTAAAAGCTATTTTTAGTTTAATGCAGGCCTCCCCAAGTCCTGTGTCATCTTGCATACTTGACGAATTTCAGCTCTGTATTCTCACGTATACCGGGTTGCAAGTAAATTATGGCTGTCTCCAGTCTGCACCGATCGTTATTTCCTATAGGATAACTAGCATCCTACGCCCATTGTTGATATTTTGTATTACCAAATTCTATTGTAAATACTCATAATTTATTTTTTGTACTTATATTATGAATCTTCAATTTGCAGGAAATAAAGATATATATATTAATTTGCGATTTCACAATATTGTAGCCCGATGACCCCTCGAATTTTTGATAACTGTAGTCTAAAAACTCGATTAGAAAATGGTAAGAGACGCAGGGTTGCTGTTAGGGGATAAGGGATGCCCATGTTTGCCATACCTGTTAACTCCACTAAGACAGGTAAATACAGATGCAGAGACACGTTACAACTGAAGTCATATTAAGACGAAGGGAACTATTGAAAGGGCTATTAATAAAGCGTTTCCCTTTGTTAATGAATAGGTTATACTGCGCCCACCCGATACAACCGCTAACAATCCCTTTCAATAGGAAATTAACTTCGATATATGATGCTCTTGAAAGGGGGCTGTATGATAATATAATAATACATATGAATAATACAGGCCTTTTGAAAGGCGTCTCAATGTTAAATAATAGGAAAATAATGACCAATCAAATTAAAGACTACTCAGAAATTTACGCCTGCGCATTGAACTATTTCTAGTGTAACCAAAATGGCGTCTAACCTTGTACACTTCGACTCAAAGTCAAACATTAAAACAGTAATATATGCTCTTGAATTAGATAATGTTTAAAACCTAAACTTGAGCATGCTATTTTAAGTTATAGGGCCTACCATGTACGTCTATGCATAGATCTTAATTCTAGGACTAGGCCTAATACTAGTAATTGTAATTGTAGGCCGGTAGGCTAGACCTAGTGACCGCGGACAAGAATAGATGACTATGGCCAAGCCAAGTAGGTCATAATGTCATTTGTGACTCTGGCCAGTTCCTTATATAGTAGTTTTAATGAAACTAGCCTGGAATTACAGTTCTTTGTATTTAAATTTAAAAAGGGGAACAGTCGGCATTGTTCTACCAATTCGTGCGAACGTCTCAGTCAGAGGCGGGATATCTTTTGGCTAATTCAGGCTAATCAGCAATAGGCCTAGATCATAGAATTAATATATTACAGTTCTATGCCTAGAGCTACTCAATCAATGACATTTCATTGTATTTGTAGAGGTGGATGGGTTGCACATTTGCAATAAGTTAGGCCCTTTTCTATTAATTTAATATTATTTTTTTTTTCTTTTTTCTTGGAAGGGAGGTTTTGATTGTACGAAATGTACCGGCCCAAGATGGAATAAATCCTTCTTTGAGTCATTCCGACCTTTTATTACAGTAGGTCATGTTAAAACCGTACATCTCATTGGGTACATCACTCTTCTTGGTCTATCGAGTAATAAGAAAACTCAGACAAGCTCTATAGTGTTTCAATCTAAATTTCTAGAACTAAGGTCTAAATATGGGGATTACTCACCTTTCTATACAGATGGATCTAAGGATGGTGATAAGGTAGCAGTTTTACAGGCACTTGAGTTCTTTCAGTCCTCTACATCATTAAAAAAAATGTATTGTATTTTCTGATTCTTTGTCCTCATTACAAGCTATTTATAACATCCAGCTTGTACACCCAATAATCGGGGATATATACAAGCTCTCTGGGCCGAAAAAGGACATTGTCCTTTGTTGGCTCCCCAGTCACATGGATATACGAGGGAATGACATGGCAGATGCGGCGGCTAAGGCTGCTTTGTCACTGCCTGTTTCCCCTTTTCTTTGCCTTTCACCGATTTTAAATCGGCGATAAGGATTTTTATTCGACATCGATGGCAGCAAAGATGGGATGCTGCAGACACTAACAAGCTTCATGCCATTAAGCCTCTCCTAGGAGACTGGCCCTCCTCCTATTGTGCCAACAGGAGAAATGAAATTGTTTTGTGTCGCTCTCGTCTTGGACATACCTCACCAACTGTTATCTGCTCAAGGGAGAGCCTCAACCAGTCTGTGAGCACTGCCAGATCTGCCTGACAGTGAAACACATTCTGATTGAGTGTAAGCATCTCAAGCCTATAAGATCACAGCACTACCGTGCTGTTTCTTTATTTCAGCTTTTTGCGCAATCTTCTCTATATGTTTTATATACCACCATGTGGTGTATTACCTGTGATATTGTTTTTAGTGTTTTTTTGTAGTCATTAAATGACTGTTTCTGTGATATGGTTTTTATCGTCTTTTTTTTGTTTTTTTTTGTCACTATGTGACCTTTCTGTGATATTGATAAGTGTTTTATTGTTTTAGTTTTTGCATAATATTAACGTATTCTGGAGCTATATAGCCCGTTTGGTGCTGATGCCCCTTAATGCATTTCATATCATTTCATTTAGACTGACTTGGACGACGAAACAAATGCGGCAAATAAACAAATCATAGTCTCGGACACCCAGACTTTCCTGTCTACACACGGAAGTTCTACTTTTACTTGATGTGGATTTACAACCTATCGGATACGTGACCTGTTTAGACTCGATCAGATTTGAAATACAATGGGAACAGGTTTCAGGCCCTCTTTCAAGCATCAAAGCGGGTCTGGATGATAAAGTATATTTTGTTTTTGTCAAGATTTTTAGCAAAATGTGGTGTGTATGTATGATTAGGCCTATATCCATAAGTAAGAATTAAGGTATAATTAAAGGTTTTTTTGTGCAGTTAAATCTAATTCGATGACCCTAATCAATATGACAACACAAATTAAATCAGATTTTGCACAAGGACATCTTAGGTGATTATTTCACCCCTTCTTGCAATCAACCACCCCACTCCCCCATTGCCCCTCTGAATATATCACGTGCCCCCACCCCTACCCTTTGTTAGAAGGATGATAAAACAGGTTTTAATTTGTATAGGATTTGTCAAATGTTAATGTAGTTTCAAATTCTTATAATACTTTTAAAGGGGCTCTTGATGTGTTTAAGGCGACATTTTGTGTCTCTTCACATACTGCATTCGAGACTTCCGATTATATTACATGTGTGCATCTGATCAAAAGTATTTGTCAAAAAACTTACTTTTGACCTCATATTAGATAATACCGCTACTTATAAACCACATCTCAATGCTCATATGGAATGGAATCTATGACTCCAGAGATGACCAGCGTGTTAAATATTGAAGTATTACCCTCCAGTTAGAATATCTATATCTATTTTTTCACTTAATCAGTAAGTATAATGTAAGTACTATAGTTGCAAACAAGACTGTTCGTTATTATTTTATTATCTTGGAAATGAATGAAAGAATGAAACCCTTAAACCCAAACAATGCTAAACGTCATTCAGTTATATATCATACTATAGAACACTTTTTCTGCATTGGAGTACGTATTCTGGAAACCTTAGCGCCGAGATCGTTTTGAGATTACAAGGCTAAAAGTACAAATTAGTTCTATCAAAAATTGCACAATTTAATGAACAAACAAAATTTTGTTACAATTCAAAAATCAATGGTCTAACATACAGGAAAATTTTTGCTTTGTCTTTTTTACTTTTTCAATTAAAAAGATATTTCAATGTAGACATGGCCTGCATTGGTCATGACCTTGATACTCACACTCAATATTTGATAAGACGTGGCAAACCATCTGATTTTCTGAAAAGCAAGATTATTCTTTCAGAATTATAATCTAAAAACTTCGAGTTCACAGGTAATTCATTTTTCAAATAAAGTAGATTCATTACACACCACTAAGTAGAGTATATTTATTTTAATAATTCATAACATTACTATCAGAGCTCTAAATGATGTAAGTGAGATTACGGAGCAAGAATAAAAAAATAATGAAGTTTATTAAGTTCTCATCTTTAAGAGTATACTCTACTATTTACAACCTAACCTTCCAGATTGTTGTAAAATATTCTTTACATCACCTAATGGTAACTTACAACCGAAAGTTGTAAAGATCCATAAGGATATTTCTTAAAAAATGAAAAACGGGTTAAAAGATTGCTCTAGTAAAAACCTGTCGTTGGCGTTGTCGCGATTATTGTTGTGATTGAAAGTCATAAAATCTAATAGAATATTCATGTTTTACAGATTCAGGATACAAATGGAGATGGACCTTAAGGAAGAGGTCATTGGAAATCAAAACCATCAACCAGCAATTAACGTAAAAACGTGGGGGGATCAGTGCGATCTACCCATTAGCACAGTGTCAAAGAGAAAGTACACAATGTTCTGATACGAAAATACAAAGACGATAATGAGGCGAATTCGAGTTCCCTTACCAATATTGAGGTAAGTAAAAATAAATCGTTATGAATAACAGGATGCCATATAAATATGGAAAGTCCACCCATTAAAGATTTCAGTGCTCCGGTTCCGAAACTTTGACCTATAGCTTTAACAAGCCACTAACAAGAACTGTCACTTGGATTTCGATTCAGCAAACATTGACCATGTTCAAGATCTTGTACAACTTAATTTTGGTGTTTGTTTGCAGTGAATAATTATATGTCTATTTAACTCCCAAGTTTATCGATGTTAAGAAGGAATACACAATACGTTGCTTATTCTTATTAACATGTTTGAACATGTCCTGCTTAATTAGATAATAAAAAGTTTTCATCACATTTAATATTCTAGGTTTGCAAAGTCACCAGTAAAAAGGTTATCAACATATTAAGCATAAACTGGTTCTGGTTTTAATACCTGATTTTAAATCCGATATAATAGATGGATAGTCGAACTCATTAACAAGCACGTTTTCTTTATCATTAAACAAAACCAAATCTGGAAAATTCTTTCTTCTACAATTTCACTATAGCGTTTCCCAGAAGGAGATAATAAAGCATATGG